GTTATTTTGTCTATTTTCTTACCGTTAAAAATTGCCATTCCATATTTTTGTTGCTTTTTTCGTTTTTTAGTACAGAATTGTTCAACAAGTCGTCCAAAAAATCATCAGACACTTCGGCAAAAGTGCAAAACGCGAATTTTCCGCCATTTTGAATTTTCTATTAGTAGGCTATAGCCATATAGCTATCACTAATAGCCTACTAATAGCGTAGCCAATCAGAAGGCACGATATGTGATAGTCTACTAGTAGGTTTATACTAATTTTGAATAGCTGGAGGGTGAATAGTCACATAGTAAGGTACGACACTAACCCTCCAGCTATTCAAAAACAGCACCACAGATGAGGTAATACTAAGGCCCGGTTTAGACGGCGAACTTTTCATGCGCCGAATCTAATGCAAGAATTAAGTGCGACGCTGGGGCGGCGTCTAAATCAATTAAGTTCGACAGGTTTTGATTAAGTTCGACACGACTCGAAGATGCGACAAGACAAGTCGTATATGCGACACAAGTTCGACATTGATTTAGACGCCGTGCTTTTCATGCGCCGAACCTAATGCATAATTATTTTTTAACATCATAATACGATTATCATATATTTGCATTGTAAATATGTCCAATATAGTGTCCTCGTAATTTGGTACGGGACAATTAAGTTCGACGTCTAAATCAGTTTCCGATATTTTGTCGTATCTACGACAATTAGATTCGGCACATGAAAAGTTCGCCGTCTAAACCGGGCCTTACCTCATCTGTGACAGCACTGACGACACTCAAGGGAAGCTCAGATTGAACCTCCACGGCTTTGAGTGTGATTCGGCTTTTAGAATACAGGCGTTTCCGGGGGGGGGGAGGAATTAACAGTGTAGAAGTTGTGCAGGAATTTTATCTGTACATTTCTGTATATTCTATATGTAGTTGCTGGAACTTTTTTCTTTCTCTAAATGCTGGCATGAATTTTTCAGTGATTACAGTGATTACAATTATGATTATAGATGTGTTTTACCATAGGTTGCATAGCTCTTGAGCAACACTAAACTAAACTACATGTTATTCAAATGTAACAAGAACTTAAAAAGTTTAGGCTAAGAAATATCCCACAATGACCATGAAGCAGAGAATAAATTTCGCGGCCATGACACCTGTGGCACTGTCGCGATCGGGAGTGTAATTGTTGCAATTATCGCTGCTACAGCATATTCCAAAACATGATTTTAGGAAATGATCCAGAATCTTTCTTTCACATGTGTCATCACCATTTGGACAATACCTATCGTTGTGATTGTCGTCACAGCCTCGCTCAATAAACATTATACCGTCACTTCTGGTATAAGAGGCAGGCCTACTCTGGGGCGGTAAATCGCCTTAAATCGCTGCGATATAATGCGATTTTGGGCGATTTTAGGCGATTTAAGGAAAAACTGGGACTTTGAAGCACTGCGATTTAAAGCGATTTTAGGCGATTTAATGCGATTTAAGAGAAAATTCTAAATTTTAGGGATTGCAATTTAGACCTGTTTTTCAAGGTAATTGAATTTTATATTTTTCTCCGGTTTTCTCCCACAAGGCTAAATATGGCAGGGTGGGTTAGAATAAAAACAGTTAGAAAAGTGATATCATATTCTCATTGTTATAAAGATATATAGTCTAGACTAACATAAGTAACCCTAATACTTTATGTAAGCGGTGACTGAAAAGCCCCAAAGGGGAGTGAGCTGAATAATGTAATGTTTTCACACACATTGACACATATGCATTGTATGAAGCAAAATACAATTATTAAAACATGTATGTACATTTTATATAAAGCTAGGTTAATATATTGTATTTAATCCGAATCATATATAAAGCTCAATATTGATTCGTGAACTTTTCATCCATTGTCTTATTTAGAAGCCATTGGAGTTCATCTTGTGGGGTCATGTGGTCATGCATTCATGGCTACATTATATACCACAAATATTGTAAACAGTTAATAAATATACTCTACTTAAGGGGCATGTACGGTACATAATTGCAAAATACCAACCTATAACTAAACTACACATATCTTAGGCTAAACGTTAATATTATTAATTGCAAAATATAATAGATATTTGATTTCCAAAAGAACCATAGCCCACAGGGAGTAGAAACGCACAATATATTTATACAGTTACAATAAGCTATATTCCTATAAATTACCTTGTCACCCTTGTAAGTGAAATTGTCTTGTTTTGTATCTTGTCAACACTTCTTTATTTAGCTTGCATAATTTAAACTGTTTCAACAAACATGTGTTATAAAATTATGTTTGATATCTATATCCACAAACAGTTTGAAACAGTATATATTGTCACGCATT